ATGGTTGAATACCACTGCTGTAAAGTACCAGTCGTCTTCATTTACATGCGACCTTTGGAGTGACATCGTTTCACTGGCGAAATTTACCTTTTATTTTTTTTAAAAAATTCTTCGTACTCGTGTGGGAAATCATATCCCAGGCGTTGGGCTGGTGGGAAATATAGTCAGAATGTTGCTACCGGTTGAATACGTGCTTTGTCCACTTCACAGACGTGCGTATGTTCTCTGAATTCCGCTTACAGTGTCCGGTGTGTACGCCGTAGACCTTCGAAGATTGGAACCAAGAGGCTTGGCATCTTCATACTTTGTTGGCAGAGTTATCTGAACAGAACCTCATTATCAAGCGAGATTACGACATCATACCAGTCATGGCGTTTGATTGGATCGAAATAAAACAGATTCCATTGTACTCAGCGATGGGTCTACCCTTCATCCAGTGTTGCGCCGTCCTATTATCTACGTTCGTGAGATCATGCTCTTTCCCAGGCATTGTCGATGGGGGCGCACAGAAGAGGAACGCCTGAGTGTTAGGCTACCTAACTGCTACGGGAGTGCAGTTGGTTGACTTGTGTAGGAACTGACCAGTAACGAGAAATTAGTTGCAGTATTTTAAGCGATACATCATGAAGACGAATGAGTGCGGGAGTGAAGGTATAGCTTCACGTTCCGTCCGCATTGTGTCAGGAGAAAGAGATACCGTCACCCTTTTCTTTGTAGACTGTGAGTGCCTTATCCGATGTGGACCCAGTGGTGGCGAACGGAGAAATCACTCCCCACGGCAAAAATCAAAACCCTACCTCCAATCCGTAGCTAGTCAGTGTACTGTCAGAGTCACCCCAGTTCTTCAGTCAAATCGTCATGTTATAATAATTGAAATAAGTTTCCAGGAACTAACTACCGACATGATAAAAATAGTACTTGTCAAGAAATTATCCGCCTTTTATGGAACCATAGGTTTGATTATTGTGCCCACAAGAGCCCGCCACTGGACCCTGTTTCGAGCCAGCTGAATCCAGCCCTCACCCTCCCATCCGATTTTCATAAGATCCGTTTTGATATTGTATCCTGTCTACATATTCAGGCTTTTCAATCAGAACTTTGATACTCATTTCCCGTCTTCCGACATCTTAACCTCATCGACTTGATTGTCCTAATGATATCTTTTGAAGAATACAAATTATGTAGGTTCTCGTTAAACCCATGCAATTTTCTCCAGCCTTCTCTCATTTAATTTCTTTTTGGTCCAGATCTTCTCGTCCCTTAATATGAGATACCAAGTTTCACATCCATACAAAGTAACGGGTAAAAATAATTTTATTTTGTGTGTTTTAAATGAAGTAAACGAAATGTTTACTTCGTTCAATTCGTACAACGAACGAGTCGTGTGTGAGGTTTAATAAGAAATCAACCGAGTTGCTAAATATATGAATAATAGTCTAGTTGTCTTCTAAAATAGCTGCCCTTAACACTAGTTAAACCAAATGAAGCCTTGGCGGTGTAAGTACGGTACGCATTTCCAATCTTCATCTTGTTGCAATAATTGATGGTCGCCCGCCAATTGGAATTTTGTTCCTGCTGTGTGGTGTTTGTAACTGTTGGAAGGCCAGCGATCTTTTCCAGCTCCTTGACAAGATATCCGTGGAATGGAGGGAAAAAGGAAGACGAAGGTGGAAGCAGCAGGCTATCACCAAACAATATGCTTCGTCATTTCTGACGCGGCTCGAGGAATCATGTGATAATATCAGCAAATCAGGGAGCGATGGCCAGCCTTGGTGATGCGAGTTCGTCCGGTCGTGCCTTGCCGTAACAAAACCTCGCAAACCAGTCAGCATAACAAGCTCTGAATGCCCCCGCGTCTTCCACCATCTCTGCAAGTCGGCCGGGAAATGACCCGAGCAAGGCTGTTCCAAGGTCGGGCCTTCCCCCGTACCTTGAAATTTTTGTACACTTTTTTTCCCCTTGAAGTGTTTTTATTTTTTCGTGTAAGTTTCTATCTTATTCGTGTTTTGTAATGTCCACGTTTCTGCTGATTCTCCTTCCCCCTCCTCCAGTTCTTGGCGTTCTGCACCAGCGAACACGGAGGTCAATGCGCCTACCTAACACCAGCAGTCTATTCCATGATGGACCTTCTCTCTTCGTTGTGGACATTATCCCCAAAAATGGACAAATGTGCGGTTGTGATTGCATAGGATACGACTGAAATGTGCGAGGGTTAGTTCTTTGAAGTAGCAACGAAGAAGCTGCTGGCATCATCGCATACTTATTTTAATATCTTTCATTCGGGAATTTTTCCCCCTCTGAGTTGCTAGCTTTTGTCTTCTGTCTTCGATCCCTTGTCTTGGAGGCAAGCCCCTTGCAGTTTAGCACTGCTTTGTGAACCCACTTAACTTACTTACTAAGTACAGAGTAAAGTCTTAATTTTATTACCGATATTTTTAAGTCAGCTACGCCATATTCGTTGGGCAAATCTCGTCGCATTCTTTGAACCTTCCCCTGAAATTCGCTTTTATTTCCTATGATTGATTCTCTTGCAACCTGTCGTGATGCCTACGCCTTAAATTAATAAACGCGACTCCGCGAAGGGGCGCGGAAAAGTGGCATATAGCCTAACTACTCGTACACTAGATGTGGGGATTAATGTGCTTTATCCCCAGCGGAAGAGCTCCCAAAACCATTTTGATAGAAGAGTGGGTGGGCCTCAGAATTAATCTGATGTACTGCTGAACAGAATAATCCCTGTGCCTGTCGGGAATCGAACTCCGGTCGTCCAGCCCGATTCTTAGTCATTGTACTGACTGAGATATTCCGACTGTTATATACAGACATTGTCATCTTTAAACGTGCAATTTGACTGAGGAAAACTAATGACGTAGGAGTTGAGGTGAGTACGAAAATTGCTGTCTTGTAGTCTGAAACGTCGGTAGACTTAAGTTCTGCCATTTTAAAGCAAAAGTTGCAGTAAGACAGTGGAGGAAACTTCGACCAATACTTACGATCCCCATTAGACGCCAAGAAAGTGCAGTGTTTCCAAGATTCATAAACAGAGTGGTGGAACAGAATGCTTCTTGCCAAGCTGGACAGAGAAAGAGAGAGTTCTCCAGCGTTCACAGGAGTCCTCGACTGGACCCACCCTTAAGCCAGTCGAGTCCTTTCAATGTCCTGGCATCAGATTGCTTTAGGATCGATTTTGGGTTTTATCCTTCTGTCTGTTTCCGTCAAGACTACACGCAGACACGCGTAACCCAGAAGACGAAATATGCACTCTTCTGTGGCTTGAAAAATCTGTCTTCCGTTAAACCGAACAAAGGATTTGAAAGAATCCTTTGTCCAGTTTTCTTCATACGTCAAACTGTTTCCTGCAGCATCTTTTGATTCGCGTCATAATTTCTGCACTTTTCTTCTCAGTGGTTTGATTCGATTAGTATTGGACAATCGGAGCATGGGGGGGGGGA